CGGCTCGCCAGTCAACTTCTCCTATCGCCAGTAAAAACTCACTTACCTGGCTAATAATTTAAAATACTATTAATGTCGCTACGGCGGCGCCTGCGAGGTTAACTGTGTTGTGATTTCGTTTCGATTCAATTTAAGACGCTGGTTTGGTTTCTTCCGCAGGAAGTATTACACCAACCCAGAACAGTTTACGTTACGTTGAAACTCCCACACCGGACAGTAGTTCAGAGCGAGCGTGTTACGGGGAGTCGGGCGACGAAGATTCGCTGGCGCGCACATATATGCTCTTATCGCTGTTGGGCAATGACGTCGTTAAAAAACCTACCGAGGGAGCAGTAATACTTACGCAGTTAAATTTAAATTTAGATTTGGTATATTTTAAAAAATGGGTTAAAAACTGAAGATATTTCTTCACTCTTACTGAAATATCCTGTGCCCAATAATTGTGAGGCGATAAGGGTCCCCAAATTAAACGCCTCTTTACTGGGGTGTTTATCCGAAAAGATTTGCGAGAGAGATACTAGACTCGAACAAAACCAACACAAAATTAGTGCAGGGTTAGCGGCGTTAAGTGTTGCTATAACAAATCTAATTTCGAGCGAGAGGAAAGCGGGGGTGATAACAGAATCATTAAATGATTCTGCTCGAATTATAGCCGACGTTCAATATAACCAAAGTCTTCTTAGACGAACCCTAGTAAGACCAAATCTAAATGAAAATTTAAGAGAAACCTTGAATGCTACGGCAATAGACGATTTTTTATTTGGTAAGAATTTGGAGGACAATGTCAAAGCGGCCAAAAATTTAGAGAAAAATGTCCCAAAGAATTGGAGGAGATACAATCAAAGGGATCGTCCGTCTTACAGTTGGCAGTAGTTCCAGTAAGTAAGATTGCTGGACGGTTAAACAATTTTATTCAAAGTTGGAGCAAGATTACTTCCGATCCTTTCGTGTTGTCTTGTATAAAAGGGTATAAAATCCCGGTGACCGGGAGTTTTCATCAAGTTTCCGTTCCGCAAGAACGAGCTTGGTCTTTTTCGGAGTGTGAGGAATGCTTGATTCAAATACAGAAACTGACTAAATGACGTAATGTGCAGTAATCGGAATTAGCAGTAGTACCTATACTGCCCTGTTAAGAAAAAGAGTCGTAACTGCATAATCTCACTGTATTTTCACATTATTGGTTTTATCAGATCATATTACGATTATACAACTCTATGTTAAAGCAGAAAGTCCTATCTGCATTATTAAGGTTAGCAATTTCATTTACTATTTTGTCGTAACTACTAATAATAATTGTAAATGTCCTATGAATGTAAACCTAAATGTTTTTGTATTAGTTTTGAATAATGTACGACAAGTGTAAGTGTAAACACACAGTAGCACAATATATCATATTATTATTATTATTAATATATCTGTGGTAGTGTGAAATCCGTCATTTCACGAAACGCCGGCAAATAGCGTAATGAATTAGAATTACGCCATCTGCCTAGGCTTTTCGTGAAATGCCCAACTCATGTTGGCGCATAGTGAAATACCGATCTCTACATGATTTGACGTAATTTAGAAGCCGTCGTTTCGTGAAACGACGGCGCGGCGTTACTTGCAGATTGTGTTCAGCAGCATTGCAATCTCAAAATCCGAGTTTCGCGCCGATCGTATACAATTTGGTGTGACAAAAATAATGTCGGAAAAGACTGAATGTGAGTTGTTCCAAGAACATTACAATAATTTTTACAAGGACAAAAACAAACGTCCATATACACAACAGCAATTAAAAGAGGTAAGAAATAGTATTATATAGTACATTTTGAGGTTATGTAGGTATGTTGAATTAGGATGATACTGTTACCATGAGGCAGACGTTGCCAAAAACAGGTTGATTTTTCATCAAATTTGAGTATATTTTGTCATTTTGAAGTATTTGAAGTATTCAAAAGAACCTCGACTGTTTTTATTGTTTTTCTATAAAGCGATCGATTTCGGGTTATGAGTTACCCATCATCAGGCTGTGCTAAAATTACAGGAATGTGAAGTTGAACAAAGAATTAAAATTATTATTACCGTCATTGATATGAGAAGCAGCGTATTCTTGTCTGACATGACAAGGAGTATTTGACGTGTGACATTAAATTGAATAAAATGGAATTTCTTGGTGGAAGTGCATGTATAGTATACGTATGTACAGTACATTTCACATTCGTATTCGTACATATACATGCATATTCATAGCGTGTACATTGTAGATTATTAGAGCTTTCAATATATGCATACCATATACTTGTGTTATTTGGGAATAGTCACTCTTCTAATGCTAGATCTATGCGAATGCTGCAATTGGCAAGCCAAAATATGGAATTAAGTATGTAATAAAGTTGCAGCAATAAAGACACAAAACTATAAAAAAAGAACATTAGATGAGGTAGAAATTGACCCTGATTTTGTGATGCCTTCATCCTCATCTTCAAGTTTACAAAGTTTAGAAGAGATTAATGAAGAAAGCAAATCCCCATCGCCAACCATCATTATTCATCAAAATATTCTTATTTGCCCTTCAAATTCACAAGTCCCCAATTTAATCGACAATGAAAGCAGTGAAGGTCTTGATCTCGGTTCTGATAGTACTTTTGTGACGTCAATCATCGATTTTTTAATTGATTCCGCACTCGCGCAATGCCAAAAAAAGAAGGAAGTTTATATACAAAAGTAGGAAACATTAGGAAAAGGCGAAGATTCAGCACATCACTAGAAAACAGAATAAAGAAAAAAATAGAGGACAAGGGGCCAAGTGAACGGAACCCCATAACGCATTTTGCTACCGGTATTTGTGCCACTCGATACACCTGGTTATGCGCTCAATTGCGCCACTTGAATTAAAGCTAGCGCCATTACGGTTAAGCCATAAAAATCATGCGCTAAAATGCGCCGTAAACGATGTAAAATATTTTCAAAATGGACGCACTTCCGGAAATACCGGAAGTGGCTAGTAACTTCGTTATTTTAAATGGCAACCCCTATTTTTTATTACATTTTTGGATTCTACGTGAAATTTCAGTTCTTTTGATATCCACATGTCGATATCTACCATTTATGGTTTTTAAGTTATTTTGACTTTAAGAAAAGAAATGGCGGATGCAGATGGTACTTTGATAATTGATTACTTGAAAACGATTGTAGTCATAGCAACCCATTTTTATTAGTGCATAGAGAATGAATAGGGCTTTCATTTAGTGTACTTAAAAAAAAGTTAAGTTGCGGACAACCGCACCTATGGAGATCCAAAGTTATGAAACTTCAAAGACTAAAAACTCAGGTTTTTTTAATTGAATGACCATTTTCTTACTATTATTATTACTACTATTAACAGACGATCAAATCAAATAACACTAACATCCATCGTCTTAATAGTATCTTTGACTTCTCCGCATTCCCATTAGCATTACTTTTACTTTTACTCGAGGTGCGTACATACAATTTCATTTAAATATCTTAACAAATACAAAAATTAGATTGCGCATGCGCAATATTATTTTTTCATCTTCAAAATTGTTTGAGGTTTAATGAATATTTACGGACACAGAAAACCGGGCATTTATATGTTCTTTGTAACAAGAACTTATTATAAAAGATACCATTCTTTGAAGGTTCGAGCAGTTTTTGGGCTGTAACTGTTTGGCTCGTTAGTCTACGTAACTAAAAAACAATAGCGACCTTTCTTATATCCTTAAGAACATGTGTACCAATTTTCAAAGCGACCGGACGTTTCTAAACAAAGTTATCGTGCACAGGCAGACGGGCAGACATACAGCAGTACAAAATTATAAACTATCTCGAGGATCGTTAATACATGAACTACATTGCGGCATAATGCATCACGTCCAAACCAAGTAAGTTAATACCTATGAGTTGGCGATTATTGCAAACCGAGTTAAAATTGCACAATTAGAACATAACTTCACCGCATACCCATATACATATATACTGCATTCATTATAAGAAGGTAGTAGGTACACATAAACCACAGTCTTTAAATTCATTTTAATAGTATAAAATGCGCCTTCAGTAAGGAATGTTTTTAATTTAGTTTTCAGGGTATTGTACGGTAAATCCCTGGTCTGGCCAGGCAGCAGGTTAAAAAGCTCAAACGAAATATTTACAAAACTTCTGTGAGTTTTATCTAATCTGTAATGCTTTATGTCACGATTACTACAATTTCGTGTATTATAACTATGTATATCGGACCTTAAAACAAAGTTCATTGGCACGAATCTTAGCATATAGAATACAGTGTAGTATAAATATGCAGGGAAATTTCAACAATCTGAATCTAATAAACACATTTTTGCAATCTTCTCTATAATGCAGATTGCCTATAATTCTAATGGCACGACGTTAGAGGACGTGTTGCACTTGCACAATTACCCCAAACAATGTTCCAGTAATATAAGTGAGTCTGAATCACTGATAATAGACCATACGTAAAATATTAGGGGAAACGTTTTCAGATAAACGCCGTAGGAGAAATATGTATTATTTTGGCTACTTTACTAACATGTTCCTTAAACGTTAATTTCGGATCAATGTTAACACCTAAAAAATTTGCATAACAAGTGTTATCGAAATCATTTTGTTTGAGTGTGATTAGCATTTGTACCGTGGCGAATTAAAGTTTTAAGTGACCCTCATTTAAAAAGGATAACTTACGAATTAAAAACTATTACGATGAATCCGAACAATAGTGGAAGTAAATAAAACTGTTGGTAACTTTCATATTCAGGTGATAACGAATGTGGTGTAATTGACCGTTTTTCATAATTGGCTAAATTAATGGTAAAAATTAAGTAATTCCCTTGACAATAAGCACCATCAATATCCGTTTTACAGGAAATAATATTGAAAATGCTGCTTAAGGTTGCCTGATAACCCTGTTCTGACAATTTGTAAGTTAGAAATAGCGTATCTTGTTAACTCATCATTAAGTAAATAAATAGATTCGTTTAATTCAATCACAAACATTAAGAACAACTAAACAAACCGGGAAAACACAGTAAAGTGCAAAATGTCAATAGTAATCGAAATGTAATTACATACCTAAGTATACACAGTAGATGAACAGGAAAATAGCACACGGCAAACATTATTACAACGGCAAACAACATTTTTGCGGCTTTTCTTCTAGATCGCAGTTGGCTCTCTGTACTGGTATTTGTATTCATGGCAAATGTGTTCATCTGTCTTCCGTCCGAAATATCTAAAAGAAAAATACGTGAGGTACAATGGATATCTGTCTAAAGTATGTTTGCTTAAGGGAAAAGAAATATAAATTGTTTTATAGGTTTTGGGCGATATGCCACGCGGCAAAATTTAACAATGCCATCAACTAGTAAAATCCCTTTAAACCGGTAAAAAGCCTTCAGTTTCGTACCGTGTATAGGAAACTACGATTATGTTGCTCTCGATGTGCTCGAAGGGGTTTGTTAAGGGACCGAATATCATTTGATCAATCAAGTATTAACGGATATGAAATTGGCAGTAATTACAGCATTCGGAGGAAATATACGGATTTGCTAATTTCCGTCCTCAAATCGACGCGACGGAGCGGTCTAATAGTATATAATATAAAATCCACATGTTATAAACCACCTAAGCTCAATTTACCGAGTTTTGACGGTGAATACGACAGATGGACGAAGTTCAAAGACATTTTCCACAAGATTATCCACAACACATCTTTAGCAAACGTTGTGGAGATGCAGTATCTGAAAACTAACGCAAGGAAGAACCGGCAAGGGTAATTCCACATTTAAACATCACCGATACACACTGCTAAGCAGCATGGAAGCTCCTTAAGAATCACTCACAACCCACGGCTGTCAAAGTTAGTCGACAAGATACTGAACATACCATCCCTTCAGCAAGAAGGCTTGACTACACGATACAAAAGTCGAATTGTAACGAAGCATCCGGAGTTTATTTTTTGAGTATGTCGTTTGCAAGGACCACCCTGTATAGGAACGATTGGTTTGGGCTTCGTTACATAAAAAACCGTAACTTCGAGAACTTTCCGCGGTGTCATAGAGACAAGGAGATACCGTAATTAGTCCATCTACGACCATTCCTATTGGAATTATTTTTGTAACCACCGAATGCTCTCGTCATGGTGAATATGAGACACAATTAATATTTTTTGGTTTCAACGCCGTTAATTGTTTATAGTTCCCCATAGTAAGTAAAAGCAAGGATAGAACAAATTCCGAAGCGAGTTGTTTTCCTCGTTATCAGTTGGCGGCGTGCCTGCAAAAATTAGATAAGCGCCAGCCGGCTCTGTATCCGAAAACTTGCAATTAACAATGTTTATTAATGTAATGAGTTCATGAGCGCCCATGAATCCTTTTGAGTATGTATAATTAACATTCACTAATTAAATTAGTTACAGTAAAGGAGCGGCGATCGCAGAGATTGTGGTGTCAAATTTTGCGCGCTTAATTAATGCAGCGATTACCATATGTCCGGGAATTTTAGCACGAACAGTAGCCGAGTAATTAACCCTCTCATGCATGATTTATTTTAAAGAATAAAAAAAAACAAAATAAATTATTTTTTGTATTTATATAACTAGAAAATGGGTTACAGGAACTCAAAAGTATATCAAATTAAAAAATATATTCAAAAAAAGTCAAAATTTTAACTGTCCACTCTAGTGGACACAGTGCATTTTACATCCTACTTATGGAAATTTTCCATGCAATCTGGGCAACATGGCTCGTTACACCTTTTACATATATATTTGGTCTTCCGTTTACACGAAGACGAGTGGCATCTTCTTGCATTTTTTATTTCTGTAAGTTTGGGCCAGTGTCCAAAATTGTCTTTCCGTATTTCTTCTGGAGCATGGTGGTTTGGTTTTCTCGTTTTCAGTATGCTAGTTGGTGGGGTAGTAGACCTGGGCCTTCCCCTTTTATTTTCTGAGTTTCTAGTACCCCTATTTATGAGTGTTCGGCCAACGCTTCCTTTGAATTCTAGGAGATCCATATCGCTATTTCCATCCTTCTTATACAGAATCCAAGAATTTATTACTGCTACATCCAGAAAATGCATGAATATTCTAATGTACCACCTTTTATTCCGCCTTCGCAAAGGGTACAGTGCAAGTAGTTGATCTAATAAGTCAACACCACCCATATTCTTGTTATAGTATTTGACAGAGAACGGCCTATTTACTTCAATAGTGGTTTTATTGGGCTTAGACCAACGTTTCACAGAACTTTGTGGTTCAACTCCTGCACATGTTGAACCTATGTGTATGGCATTGCTATCCATCCATTTTGTTATGGTAATATCCCCTGATTCTGTGGAAACTACAGAAGAAGTACCTCTTCCCTGTTTTTTCATGTCTTTTTCTGACATCAAACATTCTCCTGCTCCTGAAAGGCGATTTCCCCTCAACGTACCAGTAGCCCATATTTTTCGCTGTTTCAGCTCTTGCAACAGTGGCACAGAACAGAACAAATTATCGAAAAACAACTTGTGATTTTTGTGTTGGATGTCATCGCTGAGACGGAGAATAACATCTCCGCAAGCACCAAAATCGCTAATTGCCTCTCGTCCTCCTCCCGCTCCTTGGTATACTTCGAAACGATACATATATCCACTTACACCCGCTCTAACCCAAATTTTCACGCCCCATTTCTTAGGTTTCTTCGGAAGATACTGTTTTATGCTCAACCGCCCCTTTAGCGGAACAATCTGTTCGTCTATTGCCTGGTATTCTTCTGGTTCAGTGGCACTCAAAAAGTTCTTTTGAAGTTTATCGAGAAATGGCCTGAGTTTCTTGAGTTTATCGGTGGAATTAGTATCTAGATCCAGGTTATTTGTAAAATGTAGATGTCTCAGAATCGATTCATACCTGTTTACAGGCATAGAATCTGCAATGAAACTCATACGAAATGCAGCATCACTGTTCCAGTAGAGACGTGTTCGTGGATATCTTATATACGACATTATCAAATTTATACCCAAAAATGTTTGCAATTCATACTTTGTAAGGGTGAAGTTGGGTTTGTCCAACTGGTGTGCATATAAATTAGATTGAAATACTATTTCTTCTAAGATCTCATCAGAGAAATAAAATAAAAAGTAATCTATTGGTCTCTTACTTTGAGTTTTTCCTCCTTCCAAACCGAGGAATGGTGGTAAAGTACCAGGGCCATACATACTGTCAGAATTTACCCATTTCCTTTTATTGTCAATGGCCTTTTTAGATTTTCAATTTTTACGCCGCAGTAATTGGGCCAATGGTATTTCATCCTCTGAACTAAATTCACCGTCAGTATCCTGTAGCTGGTAGAGATTTTCGTCTTCAGCTTCGGATTCCAATTCAGACCCATCGGGTAAATTGAAATTGAACTCGGTGATGTCCAGCTCCGTATCACCCGCTTCAATCTCAATAACCTCTTCGATTTCAGGATTCTCTTCGACACCAATAATATCATTATCAAGATCAAAAATAACAGTCTAAAAATAGAAAACATATTGTTGGAAAACAACCCAAATTGCAGTGGACAGCTAAGTTTTGATTGATAATTATATTATTTTAATTAAATCGGCGAAGAAGCACAATGCACATGTCTTAGAGGACCACAATGCAGCGAATGAACATTTTTTACCTTTTTTCTGCCTCCTCCATAAAAAGTTCTAGCACTAATAGGTTGGAAACAATCGTCATCCATCTTGAATTGTATAGCACAACACCATACAACACAAAACATGTGGTTTTATGAATTCTACACTTTGTTGGTCTGTGCTGCCACTTACTGGTGATTGAATGAAGGTTGTGGAAGTGATCTGTAATGATTTCTAGGGGCCTGGCATAATGTGTGGCCTATATTTCAAGAAAAAATAACTGTCCACTACAGTGGACCCAATGCACGAGAGGGTTAATTAAAAATCGAATTGATTTCTTTAGATTTCGTATTGAATACGCGAAGAGTTGGATTTTCCCTGTTCCATTTCTACCAAATTGGGTTTCTTTAAGGTAAAAAGTCAATTTTGGAAGAGTTTTTTTGCCGTAAGTAAGTCCGCGTCTTTTGCCATTTTCGCGTGCCTTTGTAATTGCCGTAAGTTTGATCTTTTGTCTGTTTTACTGACCGTAAGCAAGTAAATCTTTTGACTATTTGATTGTCGTAAGTTATGTATTTTGCAACCGTGCCCTATCGATCCTTTTGCCGTTTTGCTTTCACATTTTTATCGTCATTTTTTTTAGGGTTTTAGGGTTACTGGAGTGACCGCCGCCATTTACTTGACCTGACCGCAGAGATAACATCTCCGATTGAGACTTCTTCCGAAGCTACTGAGATCCACCCGTCCTTCCGTAGATACCGCCGACGTCGTCCAGGCACGAGATTTTCATCAGCTGGCGCTCGAGTCCGTCCGTCCGTCCGTTCCCTGCACCACAGTTCCGCCGTTTTCTACCGCCGACTACGGTTTAATCAGTTACAATAACGGGCGATCAAAAATGAGTTGCTGTCGAGTAGCCTTTGGAAATTCAAGTTAAGTACGATTTCCCAAGTAAACAAAAATAGCAGTAGCCCATTACAAACTAGATAGTTGATAGCTTGTGCAATCAATATAGGTAATTATCACTTATAATACCACGAGTGCATTCATTATAATCGAATATACTGTATTGGACACGAAACGTATTCCCAAAAAAATACGTTGAGTGTATCAATATAGTATATTCTGATTGTAATGAATACAAGAGTAGTATTCGTTAGATTATATAATGAATAATTTGTCCCATGTTATAATATGTACTAAAAACACGGAATCAATATAGGTATTAGCAACAACAAAATTCAATTTATTTTGAATTGATATGGAAAACGCAGTTATTATAATAAATGTTGGTTACATTATTGTCAGTTTTTTGCGTAGTTGAATTTTCAATAGCGGTAGAGTGCAGAGTAGTGTTGTGCACTGCGAAGATTCCTTTCGTATTTTTTCTATTATGTGCGAATGGTGTTGGCTACTAAGCTTTAAATACGGTTTCAAAGATTCCGTAGAAGAATGACCAGTGATTTTAATTACTTCTTGTAGATTTGCGCCAGATTCACTCAAATTGCTTACTGTTGAAGACCTATTCGAATGGTTCGTAATTTTACGTTTTTTGGTATCCAATCCAATATGTTCTACGCCCTGAGACGTCCATTTACTTAACTGATTAATCCTCACTGGACAATTCTTATACCAAATTCCTGTCTGCAACCAGTCCGAATTTGGAGTCAAAAATAAACGATTGGTTTTTATATTTGCTGTTCTCTTGCTTAGCATTTTTTCTAAAAGACGTACTGGACATTGTTCTTTGCATTTCACATTTGGCGTCAACCATTTACATTTGGCAGTATTTTTTTCGCCACCCTGCGCAGTCTTGGAGAATACAGTATTGTATTCATAACGGCCAGTAAAGACGCCCACGTTGTTGACTTCCTTTTTAAAATATTCTAGCAAACAAAAAGCGGCTTCGTTACCTCTCCATGCGAGTTCCACGGCGGCAATCTGATAGAACTTTTTTTGGAGACCATCGGGTGTTGCTTCGTCAAAACTTTCAACAATTTTGCTGATATCGTCTTTCGTAAGAGCTGCAGAACTAACTTTCCTTTTTTCGGGAATTGCTTGCAAAAGTTTCCTTTTGGCGGAACGTGCCTTTCTAGCATCTTCAAAAATGATATCTTTAAAGGAATCAATTTTGCGATTAAATTCCTCAAAGTATTTTTTCTGAAGGCGTTTGGCTGTAATATTCCATAATGTTTTTACTACACTTTCTTTATAGTCGGTGCCATCTGTTTTTTAGCGCATTTTTGCAAAAAATTTTTTTTGTAAAAAGTAGCTTTGCTGGCTGGCTGGCTGGTCGGCTGGCTGGCTGGCTGGCTGGCTGGCAGTAAATGCGCGCCCGTAGAAATACGCTTGTAAAAAGACAAGGAGTGTACATGTAACTATCGGGGCCGTGTAATTAAGAACGTTAGGGATGGGGCTACAAGATTTGGAGTCGACGACATCTGGACGCCATCCCCGAGCGTATTATACTAACCTGGAGATTTTTCAGTTTTTATCTATCTTCTTCTACAGTTTTTCTCCGATTGTTTTCAAATTGGTGTCGTCGGGAAGATCTTGTCAACGCGCACAACTCCTGCGTGGCGGAATTTTGTTTTTTTTTTCCTAGGGGCGAAATAAACCACCTTTTGCGCGGCGCGCTTCGAGGGGTAGTCGACTTTGGGCGCCCAAAAGTTTCTTACAGCGCGAATCGCGGTCTCTCTTTCTCGTGTCACTAATAGAAGGTCGAGCTATGTGAAGTACCCAAAAGTTGAATACGATTTTATGCCGGGATTTTAGCGAAATCTACCAAAATGTGAATTACGAATGAACGGGACGTCGGAACTGTGTATCCACAAAGGGAATTTGATAAACCCCGACGAGATCTTACTGATGGTGGAGTCGAAACTTCAAATCCGAATTGTTGCGGGTGATCAGAAGTGGGTGTCGACAAAGGGAATATGATAACCCCCAAAGGATTTTAATGATGGTGGAGTCAAAACTTCAAACGCGAATTGCAAGTGCACGGTAAGTGAGAAAATGGTACCGACAAAGTGAACGTGGTAGCTTTCGGCAAGATCTTATTGATGGTGGAGTCAATATTGGCTAATAAAACACTGATCTGCCACACAAAAATGCGCTGAAGTCCCTTCGATCTCACACGAGGACTTTGATCATTTTTTCATATTAAAGGCCCAGTCTTTTAAGATACTTGCAAGTTCCTCGTTTAAAGTTTGGCTAGTTAAAACGTAATTCCTGTGCTTGCAAAATTGCGAAAACTGGTTCCAAACGTACCTAAGGGGTATTTTGTAGGGATTACGAAATAAACTTTTTCATACATACTTATGAGTTTTCACCGTGTTAGCCGGCATTAAATGATTTACTTCCTCACTAATTTTAGCATCGGAAGTATTTCCAAAACGTTCCATAACGAAAAAAACAAGAAATCTTTATGTAATGGAGAATAAATGTTTTTTGACGTTTGTTGAAACAACCGAAACCGATAAACCTATTCTGAATCTAGTAATCGTTAGAAGCGAAACACCAATAGTATTTTACATTATTAGCCAGGTAAGTGAGTTTTTACTGGCGATAGGAGAAGTTGCCTAGCGAGCCGTTAGGCGAGCTTGTCATCTCCTAGAGCCAGTAAAAACTATTACCTGGCGTATAATGTACAATATTTTATTTGTTACTCATTTGTAAACAATAGTAAACGTAAATAATTAGTTCTTAAATTAATCTTGTAGAAATGTCTAAAATATCATGTTATCCATGTAACAGAGACTTCGCATTAATTCTGGCCAATGAAATTACTAGATTACTAACTTGTAAAATTTTTACAGGTCTGCTGTCAGTTTTACAGGTCTGCTGTCAGTTTTACAAGTCAGTAGCGTTTAAACATGACGTTTACCCGTTTGCGTTTTGTCTTGTTAATCAACGTTTACAACTGAGTAACAAATAAAACGATTATACCACGTCGTGAAGAGTATATTCATATGTCAATATCATGGTATCTAAGGAAAATAAGAAATTTGATTGGCTGACGAAATAATGAGTTATATAATCGTAAATATTACTTACCTAACGCATGTTGTCTTACGTGCCCCGAACGCCATAAGACACGTATAATTTGACAGTAGGCCACCGTCATGAATATTAGCGGTATTACATACAGTAAAATCATCTTCGCTATCGTCCAATTGCGATCCGTTTCGAGAGACCAACTAGGCTCGCACTGTGTAAGGTAAATACTACTATAGTTCTGATATCCGCGGTCAGGAACGGTTTGATATACCAACAGTTCGGGAATATCTGGAACAGAAACACACATTTGTAAATGTCTGTACGTTTTTACGGTGATTATTTTAAATTAAACGTAGCACTGGCGTGTGTGTGTGTGTGCAATAAATTTCCTAAAGCAAGTAAATTGTTCTTTTCTGTCAAATACAGACCTTTGCAAAGAGCCTCGACTTTTAATCTTCGGGCCTCTATTTTAATCCGGAAATGCGAACATGCTTTTCCTCTTTTAATTAAGTCTGCGCAGTTCAGAAAATAATTTGATTTCTTACGTTTTCTATACTACCACCGATGTAATTTTCGAAATTTTAAAAGAATCAATCAATCAAAACGCGTGATTTGTACTTTATTTCTCTAAAATCAATACCTGGCATTATTAAAATGTTGTGTCAACCAAGTGATCACCGGCCAGCATTCTAAACTACAACCGAACTAATTTAGGTTATGTTCCTTCCAGCAGCTGCTCTACGTAGATATTTTGCAGTATTAAATCGGTAGAACACGAACGTATAAAGCATGTTATGTGTAATCAATGTTTAGCTTTAGATGGGAACAGGTACACAAGATATAAAATCAAGGGATAAAGAGGGCAACAAAGACGGAGAAGTGTTAATTGGAATTATCAGAAAAGAGAGGATGGAGAATTTTATATTCATATTTTGTAACTAGGAATTAAGTATTTAGGGATAAATCACTTGTTAGCCACGTAAAGAGTAGATGTAACGTCATGTCATCTTAGCACCTTCCGCGAATTCTGTCAGACAATCTCAATAGTTTCAGGAAAGGCCCTTCTGAGAAGGTTCTCAGTAGGGATTGCAATTTACTCAGTTCCTCAGAATTCAGTAATCCTGATGGACTTATTCAATAGAACCCATTAACTTTAAGTCATTTTCTTTGTAGCACAGTTCGTAGTATTATTTGTTTAGGTGCACATCAGTCGCTTCAATTGTTAACAGAGTCTTTTTAACCAAGTTTTGTCCTATTAACGGGCAGTCTTGTTTCAACTCTAATGTAAGTTACTTCAATAAAGGTTAACCATTTCATCAATTTGGTTTTAACAAACTTAAAAACTCTTAAGTTTCAACAAACTGTCTGAATAATAAGCCTCATAATATGCTCGTAATCCTAAATACCGTATCGACAGTATTCGCGACGTTTCCTTAACCTACCGATTGCGGCCGAGTACGGTAAAATCATCACTTGATGCGACACCACTGTCTTTTCTACTTGAACGAAACTGGTAACTTCATATCCATATGCAAAACATAAGCATTTCCAATGCTAAAAATACTGGAAAAACTGGAAGAATTTGAGGTAGGAACAACGATAGAGGTGAGTTTTAAAGGGAAGATAAGATCAAGAAAGGGAAAGATACTCAGACGAAGTGAGATATAGTGATGGACTAGACACACTGTGGAGTCATATCGAAGGGGATTAGAGGAACAAGAAGACGAAATAGGAGGGAGTAAATAAAGATAGAGAAACAGAAAGAATACGAAAAGCAAGTCAGGGAAATAAAAACATAGAGGGATTTGACAACGGCGTACAGAATATATGCTATGATATTGACTGAAAGATTAAAAAGAGAAATAGAAGAAAATATAATGCCGGAGGAAACACACATGGGAGGATCGAACGACTGTTTATATTGCTATGTGCCCACAGAACAGCAGTTAGCTCAATTAAATAAACTTGATAATAAATTTATCAAGACGCACCCGGCTTCTGCTACAATGACAAATAGATAGATTTAATTTTATTAATTTAGGAATCTCAGTAGCTCTGATCACTTACAACAACTCCAAGGAATTATTTAAATGAATTTCGAATAACACCTAGTATAAATCTGGGCACGAATATTAAATTTAACATGACAATTCTGATCGTGGGTCGTAAAATTTAGGGTTCGATTAAATACAAAATTCATTAACACATAACATTTATACGGGCTACACAAACATTGACAAAGCTGAAAGAAAAACACGCTCTCAGGGCCGGTTTACAGATACCAAGCATGCAAGCGATCGATAGACAACTTTTCTGGCGCACAAAGAACTAAACAATCACTCGCTGACAGCTTTAAAAACTTCACTTTTTTTTTCTATGTAAAATGGGGTGTCTTGAAAAAGTGTGGCGACTTGAAAAATAATGCAATTCCGATTTCGAAGTAGTGGCGTGTATCAGCTGATGCAACCATTCACTGTGTGACTTCAGTTTCATTCAACAGGTGTTCGGCGACGTACACAAAGTGGAAAGCTATAAATAATCAATTTGAAAGAACAAGTGATTTTCAGAATACTTCCATTTTAACTTGCATTTCTTTTACATTAACATTATTTTCAGTTTTATTATGCTGTTGTTAGTGTTATTTTTATTATAATATTTTTACAGATATTCTTATATTATTATTACACATAATCATCAAGTTCACGAAGTGGTTTTAATTTTGTAAGTGCATATGTAAATTAAATGTTATTTTTCATTTTTTCATTAAGGCAGCTAGTGTGAAACGACAAAAGAAACAAGTAAAAATCATCTACCGAAATCTGGCAATGCTGCCTACCGAATCTTGTAAAGCCGGATTTATAGTTCCGTAGCCGTAAGAACGTAAGAACGGAACCGTAAAATCTTACGTTAACGAAAATTATACGATTTATAGTTACGGTAGTGGTAAGAGATGAGCTTGCGCATTAGTGCGAAACGAGATCTGTCATTGTATGTCATCTGTCAGTAAGAGTAACGTGCATGCAAAATAATAATAACCAACAAAGTGTCAATAATTATTGTAAATAAACGAAACGAACGTCAGGATAAACTCAACTGTTTGAATTATCCGAGTACTGCCGACGACAAACGCGTTAGCACGATTTACCGTAAGAAATAAGATTTGGGCATTTCTTACGTACCGTAACCGTTCTAACGCAACGTTAACGCGAACTATAAATGTTCACGCGCAACAAGTAGGGTTTAATTCCAAACGTTACGGTACGGTGTTGCGGTTACGGAACTATAAATTCAGCTTAAGTTACGCAGAACAACACTGAATGTAACATTGAGACAGAGAGCTTTTGTGTCGTTCAGTTTGAAATAAACTACAGTCCATTTTCGAATTTATATTTCACATTACATTTGGTCGTTTTCGATCCGGATGACAAAAACTAGGTTAGAATTAGAATAATCAAGATTTGAACGAAATAATTACGAAGATGCAGGCCGAAAACCTTTGTCAAGTTTTATGGGAGTCAATCGGCGGTGTTTGCACATTCTGTACCGAGCTTCTTACTCATGTAGTGTCCTATTTAACCGTTGCATTTTTTACGGTCCCAAGTACGTAGCGTTGCATTTTAGTGGAAAGATGGCAGATTTACAGGCCCTAAAAAGTCAAAAGGAAGTAATTAAAGATAATCTTTCATTGTTGGAATCTTATATAAGGCATAGAGTAAACAACGAGATTGAGGAAATTGTTTATCAGCAACTAAGTTTACGTGTAGAAAAGCAAAAACCTTGTCTAGATATATTTACAGAGTTAACAAACAAAAATTGAATTGTTAGAATTGAAAGGAGTAAATAAAGATGGGAGGGCTAAATTTGATGATGAATATTTTACAATTATGGGCAAAGCGAAAGCCTTAATTAAAATTTATAATAAAAAATCTGAACGGGATTTCAGCCCCTCTGCATCGACAAACACCTCTGTTGTATCGGCAAATATAAATAATGGTGGTGAGATTAACTCTGCAATTAAATTACCTCCTATTAAGCTAGAATCTTTTGACGGACAATATAGTAACCGGTTGGAATAAAAGGATACCTTCATTACTTTAGTGGATCAAGGGGATAGTTAAACCGATATACAAAATTTTTTATATTTACGATCCTCAATCGCAAAGGAGGTGGAAGTGCTAAAAATCTATTGAAAATAAAAAGTTGATCTTGTATAATCACATTCGCGCAATATTTGAACATTATCCCATGATGAAGGAGTCATTTAGCGAATTAAGGAATTTGTATGATGAAACACGTTGTTTAAAGAATTTAGGTGAACCGACAGACCACTAGGATCGGTTAATTATATACAGGGTATAGCACCTAAGATCCCTCGGATCATAACTCATTTACCATAAAAGCTACCGAAAAAGTCAAAAAGCAAAATTGTACACAATTACCGCCGGCATGTTTCTAAAATATTTTTGATCACCAGGGGCGTGCGGTATTCCAGTGGCGTATAAAACTTCCATTTTTTTACATGGAACACTCCATATTTTATTACTGATTTGGAGAGTACTTGAAAGGTACTTATTTTTTTATGTAACATGTTATACCCCCAACTTTAACGATTTCGCTGTCATAACCTTTTTTGTCAAAATTTTTTTTAGAGAAACTAAATCGCGCAGGCGGCTAATTTTTGGACTGAGGCATAGGTTAAGACCTCTTCCATAATCACATAATTTTTATTAGGTACTTGATCCCAAAAATAAAATTTTTGATTGACCTTCGCTAAATGTCATATATTTTTTTAAATTTCAAATGGCACCCCCCTAAACAAATTATAACTCTGGGTAGCCAAAACTACGAATTTTACACTGATATAAACAAAATCACAGATTCCATAAGAACATTTCAGAGAAAAACCAAGTCGAAACGTCAATTTGTAAAAAAAAACGTTCTTTTTCGAACCCAAGTGTGCCTTTATAAAACAAAAGATGTTCAATTCTCATAATTAGCAGTAAAGTGTCGGCAGTGTATGATTATTTTTTAATCAACGTTGCAAAAAATGTTCCAAACTCAAGCACGAATGGTTGATAAAGTGTTTATTCTAAGCGGAAGTACACCAAATTATAAATTAGAGGAGAAAATAAAAATGGAGAAGATAAGAATGGCGTCGGGACGGGCGCTAACATTCCAGGAAAGAAATGAAAGAGAAAGTACATTAGTAAAAAGGATTAACACAAATGGAATGCGGGAAAAACAAAAAAAAATACTATGAAAGAAATGAAAGACGAGCTAACAAAAAG